AGCAGAGAGAGGCAGGACACGGAGCAAAAAGGATGAAACGGGTCAGACTTCACCTTTGTTCCCCTACACGAAGCACAGACCCAAAGGTCCTTTCCCCATTCATCCAGTAACAGCCTCATCAAATAAGGCAATTACCCGAATTAGAAATCACCACTGAAGGCTCAAATCCCATTTAGGGATTTTTTTAAAGTCAACAAAGGAAGTTTATACCTCCATGTAGTGTAATTTTACAAAATAAAACCCAAACCAAACAAACACACGAAAGGGGCTAAGCCTCCCAATACCAAGAGGTTCCATCTTAGAAACTAATTTGCAAGAAGGTTATTTGGGCTGAAAGTAAAGCTCTTGAAAACTCGGAAGCACCACGTTTAGAACAGCCTATTACTTCAGCTCCATTTGCATTAATCCTCCTCTCAACTATGGAGATCACACACCACTCCTCCTGCAAATCACTGAGCAGGGTGGCTCAGAACACAGAACTGTAGCTGCACAACCCTAATTCAGGTATTTGCTGATTTACAGGGCTAACTCTGCAACCAATGGATTTGAACACTCATTTTCAAAGGTAGTTTTATTTGTGTGCACTGCTATAGGCACACAGGGTGCTTTACAGATGTAAGGAAAGATACAAAAAATGCCCCAATGAAATCTTGGTTGAAACACATCAAAGCAATGCTGAACTCTAGAACATGATAAAATGCAAGTGAGACAGAGGAATAAACCAAGAAATAAGCTGATGTTGCATTTTATAACGCTTACTTGATAAACATTAGTGACAAGTATCATCAGAAAACCTCCACTGCTACCTACTTGAATTTACAAGGTCTGACTTCACTCTATTCATGCAAACCCAGTGATTTCAATGGGATTATGTGGAGACAACAGGTTTCACTGGAACCTTATAACAAAATTAAGAATTAAACCCTAATACATCAACTTGCCACATCAAATCCTAAGCCCAGTTAATGGGTGGGCTGAAATCTGACAGACTGAGGTAACCCTGGTGCTGCTAACAACACACCAGCTAGGAATTTGGAGGAAAAAAGGTTTCAACTTGTTGTCATCATATTTCACAAGTCCCATACCTTCTCGGTGATTTCTCATGGGCAACTCCTCACAGCACAGCCAACAAACTCCAACTCCCCCCTCACCCAGCTAACTCCAGCTCCTGGGCAGCACTCTGCTCCTTATTGGACACAGCTGTGGCCCATTAAGGGCAGGCCTGCTCCTGATCTTTGGTGATTAGCACAGCTGCAACTCCTCAGGGGTGAAACTGCCTTCTGCACTATTCTCTTACATTCTATCCCTCCACATCAATTCACCTTGGACAGAAACCTCTAGAGCCAAAGAATGAACAACAGCGAAGTTCTACCCCAGAGCAGTAAGAAGCCAACCTTTTACTATTTTTTTACTCTTCTCTTGAAAATGCCATTTCACCAAGTATGCTCATATCCACCTACTTCAAAAATACTCCCAAAAGTTCAGAAATTTTTTACAAGTGAAAAAATCCAAAACTCCCCATTTTCCAGCACCACTGATTCCAGACTTATGCTCATATTACTGAACCTAACAAGAGTGTGGCAAATACCCTTCAGCAGCATACAGAATCAGTCTAGAACCAGTGAGGAGAGGAAAAGGAGGAATCAAGCCTCAGTCCTCCTCTCATATACCAACTAGAAATGTAGATTCTTCAAATGGCACTTATTGGACACTTTAGATGGTAACACATGCAGCAGAAAGGACTCCAGCTCGGTCTCCTATGTCAATATTGGTTCTGCAGTGCTCATAGGGATAAAGTATTTTTTCTGTTAGTTAATCCCATTGTCCAAGAAGCAGTTTAGCTGAGCACTGCTAACTGAAGTAACACCTCGTTTGCTGCTCTGATAAAAGATGCAGTTTTGTCCTGTGTAACACAATTCAATTAATTCTTGTGCTATTGCCAGGTAATGCAACTAATTTACACGAATAGTGATGATGCAGGTAAATTTTAGTCGTGTCAGGATCTCGCAGGGCAGTGCAGTTTCTCCTCCCAATGTGGAGCCGATCACATGCAGGAACACAGAAACCATGTGCTCCATCCTGCCGGAGATGTTGTGAGTCCTGTCCCCCCGTGATGCAACAGCACTGCAGCCCCAGGCTGCGCAGTGAGCGCCCAGCAGGGACAAACAGCAAGCTGCAGGTAGCCGGGTTTGGGGAGCCACCACTGAACCCCCCTGGTGTAACAGCACTGCAGCCCTGGGGGCCAGGAGAGCATCATGAGCTGTAAGCATTTGTACAGGGCACCTTCAGAACTGTAATCACACTTACATCCAAGTAACCTTTGGGAACAGGCACAGCGAGAGGGGAGACAGCTACTGTTATGTTCTGCATTTATGCTGTCAGTCAAGATCTGAAAATACTTCAGCTGAGTAGCAGGCTTGCACTTGTACTCACACTGCAAGCATACATAGCTCACATCTTAATTTTCTTACTGGCCTTTTCATAAACCAGTGCGAGTTCAGATCTTTATCTTACCTACTACTCCAGTTTTGTGGCTGAAATAGCAGATCTGTACTCTTGCTTCACATCTCTGCTGTCTTTAGCATAATTACTACCTGATAGCCACATCTCAATTTGTGTGCAACTTCCACCTCTTCTCACCCTTCAGGCAAAAACAGCATCTTGCCCTAAACACTTCTGCATCAGGACAGAGCTGCAGAAACTCCACTTTGTTCAGCAACACAGAGGAATAATTGAGATGAGTACATGCATTGCTTTGGGAATGGGCATTGCTTTGGGAATGGCTCCTCACTCACACCATCCCCTCGCTGACTGTGGGCACACTCTGCCCAGCGTTTAGGAACCACAACACGTTTGAAGCAGCACACACTTGCTTCTTATTCTGCATCCTCTGTAAATGAGAACCATTCCTCCCCTTCTGTGCACAGAGTATTCTGCCTCACAATCCAGACATTGTTCTCAGCACCAAACATACATTTTACCATACAGGATACCTGGTGCACAATGCTAACTGCAGTATCTCCTTGCAAAGCACCTATGTGCTACTATTGTGTACAGTCTAATTTATAACCCCCACCTAACACGACTGTGGTAGCAAAAACCCTTTCACAAGTGTCCTGCAGGAACTCTCAGCATCTTCACAGGAGCTATCAAAAAATTATTATCAGTACTGTTTCATCTAATCCACGCTTGGTTAGTAATGTTATTACGGCATGTTAAAAGTACAGAGGCTGCTTACCCCTCTTTGTTCAAATTCCAGTAAAAACTGTTGCAAAAATAGCAGGATTCCTAAGAGTCACATAGCAAAGCAGCAGTTTCTGACTGTGTGCTTCAGAGAGGTGCCCTGCGTTCCGACAAATGAGCCTTCTCTGCTGATTGCATTCACAGCTGTAAATACTCTCACACCATTATGCATTTTACTTCTTTTACACATAAAATCTTCTGCAGCTGTTACACCTGGTGTCAGGGGCATGCTCTAATACAGAGCTTGTAGATCGGTTTGCTCTTAAACTTTCATGTAAGAGCCAAGAAATTCTGGAGACACTTAGCAGAGCCTTTTCCTAACTTCAGAATACTAACAAGCTTTGAAACCATGCATGTTCACATACTACTATTTTTAAGAAAAGTTACTCTGACATGCTGTTCCATTACAGCTCACCAGTCCCCACAATTTAGATTTCACCTCTACAAATCTAACAAAAAAGGCCTCTTAAGTTTATTACATTTTAAGGAAGGCAAACCGAAAATTCCCTAGTAAAGAGCACTCTAATTGGATTTCGACTCCAGAAAAGAAACTACTATTCCTTTTCTCATTGGGGCAAGCAATGATGCTACTCCAGGACAGGGGGTTTGCAAGAAGCAATGCAGCACCTTACACATACAGAGTACTCTTGCGTGAGGACACTGCTGAGGCACCACCGTTGGGTGGGCTTGCATACACACACACAATAAAAGCAACTTTCACGCTCAGGCATTACCGTATGTTCGTATTCGGGATCCGCACATCCGAAGTTGTCCGGCCGGGCCCGTCCGGAG